CTCTCTCTCTCTCTCTCTCTCTCTCTCTCTCTCTCTCTCTCTCTCTCTCTCTCTGTGTGTGTGTGTGTGTGTGTGTGTGTGTGTGTGTGTGTTGTAAATTGTCACCATAACAACCCCTTCTCCACCCAGACTGTGTGTGTGTGCGTATATATGCATGTATACCGTGGGGAGGGGGGAAGAAAAAGGCAGTAGTACCTGCTTTCTAAATCTTTCCACGTTCTTGGCCGTTGTGATGCGTGGATGTGTCCCTGTCTGTTGACCACAATAACAAGCCCGCAAATGAAAACAGAAAAAGAAAAAAAAAACAGGAAAGAGAAAAAGGTCAATACTGACAATAACTGCAATTTTGTGCAAACCCACTCTCGAATTTTCGAAATATTTTATTTTGTTTTATATTTTTGGTGTGCACTGTGCAGTACCACGTTTTGCTGCACTGCACAGATGCACTTGCAAGTACGGTATATACCTTCTTTTTTTTTTCTTTTTTTTATAATCAGTGCCCAGTGCCCATGGCAAAGTAAATAAGCTGGTGAAACTCCGATGAAACAGTACAGTTTGTCACAGCCCCTCGCTTGTTGTCCTCTTCTCGCTCTTGTCCCTCTACGGTTTACCAGGCAGCTCTGTTTGACTATATATAGGACTGAGTTTTTTTTACCTCTTAAACCACCAGTACTTCCTAAAGCCGTGCCGGTTAACAAGCCACGATTTTGGGAAATGTACGGGTCACTACCGGAGCGGCCAAATTCATCCGACTAGCAACGTTTCTACTCAACTTTTTTTCCCACGGCCGATAGCTGGGCCAAGTACTAGGGGGGTTAATCTAATAATCTCTTATTTTTGTAAAGGAACGTCTGTGTCTGTCTTTGTTTTATGCTCAGCGAGACTGATTGCTCTCTGTTTTGGCTGATCAAAATCATAAAACAAAGACAGACACAGATGCGAAACTGATTGCTCTCTGTTTTGGCTCACAACAGTTCTCTACTGCCACTGTTGGCCATATGATACATAGCATAGATAGGATGGATAGGATAGATAGGATAGATGGATCCTCCCCTGACTGTTTGTGACAATTGGGTTTCTTTTGCTAGTCAGTTGTGCATGCTGGCAACGGGGGATTGCTGGAGAGCTACCGAGTTTCCCTTTCGGGTTGGGCCGGTGATGCCCTCCCCTTTCGGGGTTGGGCCCGTGATGCCCTCCTTGCTGGAGGGAGGCAGCAACATTTGTAAAGGGACGCCGGGCACGGTTCCCGGCTTGACAGGCGTGTAAAATAAAGATTGTTTTTTGTTTTAAAAAAAATAAAAAAATGGATTGCAGCGAAGAATTGACATCCAACGTGTAAACGATTTAATTCATGGCTACGATGCGGACGTCCGGATCACAGTGCAGACAGTGTGGGTCTGGATGTCCAGGTCTGGTGTCCGGTCCAGAGTGTCTGGATCCATCCCCCCACCCCCCACCCCCCCAAAAAAAACGACTTAAAAAAAACCAAAAAAATCTGAAAAAAAAAAGATATGGTGTGCAGCATTGCAATACCAAAATCTTTCGGCTGAGGACCATCTCGAAATCCGTAGCCAAATCCGACGGGAAAAATCATAAAAACGTTTTTTTTTAATTAATTAAAAAAATAATAATAAAAAAGGGTTTTTTTTTCATCCGGACGGTCTGCAGCAGTCCAGGCACAGGTCCGGCCGGACGTCTGGACTGGTCCGGTGTCCGGGTCCGGCGTAACCATGGGGTTTAATTCTATATTTTCCTTACTTACTTTCGGAAAATGCAAAATTTTATTCAATGGCCCTTCAGGAGGAGCCCAATCCCTGGCAGAAACAAGGTACATGGGAAGGAACTCCCAGGTGTCCGCCACCCCACTCTCAGGTGCAGGGCCAGTTGTATCTCCGTCGAAATCCTTGGAATCGCGTCCCCGAGGAGTGTCTAACGACACGCTTATGTCGATCCCAGCATCCAGCAGGTGATGCTCCGTACAAATGGTGGAGTGAACTGCCATTTCATCAAAATGGAGATGTTTTATTTTTTGAACGAAATTGAAACCGAGTTTTTTGGCTGAAAACAGGTCCAAATTTGCTGCTCCTGAGGTCCGGATGTATCAGTCTCAAGCTAAGTCCATATGCATCCAGAGGGTCCAGCGTTTTAAGAATTCTGGACCCTCAGGAGCCAAAATTTTGGACCTGTTTCGGCCAAAAAACTCGGTTTCAATTTCGTTCAAAAAATAAAAAATGTCCATTTCGACGAAATGGCAGTTAGTGGAGCTTTCTTTTTCTGTAATTCAAAGTATCAAAAAAAAAAAAAAAAAAAAAATCAAAGTCACAAGAAATAAATTTTGAGTGAAGCCATTACCTCCAATGCATATTGCTCAGCAGGAAGTCCAAATGCATCCCAACCCATTGGATGGAGCACGTTGTAGCCTTTCATTCTCTTGTACCGAGCCACAATGTCCGTAGCTGTGTATCCCTCAGGATGGCCAACATGCAGACCAGATCCACTGCACCATATGCCCAAGAAAAAGAAGATCCCAACATGGCCACGTCAGCGACATGGCCACGTCAGTTAGAGACAAGCAGATCCCAACATTGGGCCTCACTCCACAAGAAGATCCCGACACTGGTCCTCTCTACACCACTCGCCACATGCACAAATCCCAACGAGTATGTCAATGAATCTTTCCACGTCCTAGCAGCAGATGCATTCTCATTTTAAACATTTGGTGAGTGGTGGAGCGAGGCCCATTGTCGTCACATAGAAATGTGACTGCATCAGAAAAAAAGAAAAAAAAGAAAAATGTGACCGCATCTGACACATCTTGATGTCCAAAAGATTTCCTGGATTTATTTTTATTTTTGGGGGATTTCCTGGATTATTCCCCAACACCCACACCGAAGCTGGGTAATGGTCCCAGTATTCCTTTTCCAGATGTGGTCCCAAGTGTTTTAATCCCTATGTTTATTATTATAGGGGTATGGGGTTCTAGACAGAGAAAAATACGAGCAGCATATCAGTTTTTCTTATATACTTTACTTGGATCCGTTTTCATGCTGTTCCTTTTTCAGATGTGGTCCCAGCATTCCTTTTCCAGATGTGGTCCCAGCATTCCTTTTCCAGATGTGGTCCCAGTATTTCTTAAGGGTTGTGAGGGCTGTCGGGGGGGGGAGAGTGCCGAGGGAGGATGTCCGGTAGGAGGCTGGACGCACCGAGTTCAGCCAACCTTACCAGCACAAAGAATAGTTCGGCCAACCTTACCAGTGCAAAGAACCCACCTACACCCAGAAGACACGCAAGCACAGGGCTTGCATTTCTCAAGCACAGGGCTTGCAACTATCAAGCACAGAGCTTGCAACTCTCAAGCACACAGACCGGGGGGTATCTACCAAGAATGGCGCTTCTCGATAGCTGGCATCAGAGGGCGCACCACCGTACTCATTCAGGGTCCCGGGCAGAGTCCCGCGGCAGGCGACCTTCCGGGAGGCAATCACCCACCACTGTCGCCTGTCAGCAGAGGGACTCACCGCCACACCTGCTAGGAGGATAGTGTGCCCTGGCCTCCCCCCCAACTCTTCCCAACTGAGCTCACCTCCCCCCCAATCCCCCCATGAACCCACACAACCCACCCGGACTGTACAAATGGCCGCGTCGCATCGGTCGACGCCCTCCAGCTCCAGAGCGCGCACAGGATTCCAAAGAACGGATCCGTCTGTGGTGATCGGCACCGGTGCTCCAGCAAGCACTGAGCATAAGACCCCTTGCGGACCCAGTACTTCTTTTCCAGATGTGGTCCCAGTACTTCTTTTCCAGATGTGGTCCCAGTACTTTTTTTCCACATGTGGTCCCAGTACTTCTTTTCCAGATGTGGTCCCAGTACTTCTTTTCCAGATGTGGTCCCAGTGTGTCCCAGGCCTGCGTCTGTCTGTCACACCCACCGGCACCGGTGTTCCAAGAAAGAATTTGAACCCACAGCCTCAGACCAAAATGTGCATTTGAGACTGGCGCTCTACCCACTGAGCTATGGCCCTCGACGGTCCCAGTATTTCGTTTCCAGATATGGTCCCAGTACTTCCTTTCTAGATGCGGTCCCAGTATTTCTTTTGCAGATGTGGTCCCAGCATTTTTTTTTCCAGATATGGGCCCAGCATTTCCTTTTTCTAGATGTGGTCCCAGCATTTCTTTTCTAGACGTGGTCAAATCCTGGTTCACAAAAATAACAGTTGGCCTGGAAGTCCTTCATCAAATCCTGGTTCTCTTCTGGGTTCTTTTCAATTGCTCTTTTCCTTCATCTACAGTTAATTTTTGTTCTGTTTCAATCCGGTTCTGGATCTGGGTCCATTTTTTTTTTTGTTCTTTTTTTTTTTTCTTTTTTTTAATGCGCATGGTCCATGCTTCTTGTTGTGACAATTTCCTTTTTCGGGTTCTGCAGGGATTTGTGACTCTCAAAGCGAAGCTGAGTAATGCTCTGTGTGGCTCTTTTTTTCCGGGTGGAATTGTGAGGTCCCCGGCCTCACTGATTTTGCAATATAAGAATGTCCTAAAAAATTTAAAAAAAAAAATCATTTTGTCCAAACGAATTTAAAAAAAAAAATCCCTCTCTCTCTCTCTCTCTCTCTCTCTCTCTCTCTCTCTCTCTCTCTCTCTCTCTCTCTCTCTCTC